AGCAACCCGCAAACCGATTAACCCGCAATCCGATTAACTCAAACCTGATTTACCTGCAACTTATTAACCTAAACCCGATCGACCCGAACTCGTGACCCGACCGACTAACCCGAACTCCATCCAATCCACTTGAATAATTATTATATTATATAATACATAGTTTTCAAAATGAAGTTTTTCATACTAAACTTGGATAAAAATTATTTTTTCAATTTGTATGGAATTTACACACATGAACTTACTTGATAGACCTTGCATATTACAACCCGACCCGTTGACCCGATCCAAAACCACCCAAAAGTAGAAATTTTTATAATCCGAAACCCGAATGACCCGAACACAATAACCCGTGATTTTTTGGGTCGGGTTGGGTGGGTTAGCAGATCGATCCATTAGATGTTTGAAAAAAATCACAAGGATTTGAATGATATGTTTGGAGTTTAAAGATTATCAAATACCATGTGTTTCTTCACTTTCTTGTAGTGGTATTACTCTTGTGATTGTTTTTTGACAATTTGCGCAATTTGTATTTCATTTCACTAACATGTGAGGATTTGAGAATATGTTAATTGACATGTGTTAGGTAAACTATTGTCATGTAGATGTGAAAATTTGTTTTCTTTGAGAAAATATGAAGCATGTTTGATATTGTTTTCAAGAGCGCTCATAACCCGAAATGACCTGTAACCAGACCCGAAACTGAATGGGTTGGATCAATATTTGATCCGAAATCAGCATACCCAACATGACCCGACCCACAACCGGAGGCCTCAACCCGACGGAATGCCAGATCTATCACTTGATATTATGTATTTTAATAAAATTACAAAAATTGAAACATGAAACTCACTTGAACACTAAGTTCTTTAACCAAATTTAAAAAGTAAATATAAAATCAGCACATATTGAATATAATAATTGATATCATGGACAATATTAATATTAATATATATGGTGACGTTTTCGGTGCACTCACTTTTTTGGGTGCATTCAGTGCACTCGCTTTATAACCGCCATTTTAAACATGCGATTTATGTCAAAATGATGTCAATCATCACTTATGATGTGATGAACAATAACGCACATGAATTTGCACAAAAACCATTGAAGATTTATTTTAATTTGAAGGATTTAGAGTTTAGAGGTTTAGGGTTGGGGTTAGGGTTTACAATTTAGGGTTTAGGGATAGAACTCAAAATTGGAGGTCTAGGGCTTAGGGTAATCCGCTGATTAGTTGTTATCAATGTTATATCATCATATTACACTAATTCTACAAATTCAAATTCAAAATCCGACACCTTAAAACTATTTTTGAGTTGGGTGCATTGAACGCACTCATTTTCGTGAGTGCACCGAAGTAGCCACCATATATATATATATATATATATATATATATATATATATTAAAATTTTGGTTAATTTAACTATTCAACAAAGTTATCAGTTAAATATAAATAGAGTAAAGTAATTTATTGGCTAATTTGATGATTTTAAAATAAGAGCGGAATTTTGGTCTTTTCAACTTTTTTGGAAAGAGAAAGAAGAGTGAAATTTGGTGCTTTGGAATTTTGAGAAAAGAACAAGGGGGAAGTTTGGTGGTTTTGATTTGTAAGAAGAGAAAAAAGTTGGAAAGTTTGGTTCATTTGATTACTAGCTTATAACCTGGCCCGTTGAATGGAATGTTCATGGTTGATTATTAATATTTTTATGTTACGTGTAAGTCTATCGACCCATTTAATTTTATTGACAATCATTCGATCGAGATGATACATAAAGAAAGAATATATAAGTCGAACTTTTGGAGGAATATCATCATTTAAGAATATAAAATATAAAAATGTATCATTGACCCCATTTTTATAATGATAATTATGCCCCCGGTAAAATGTTTTTGATTAATTGATTGTCAAGAAAGATAGAGTATCAAAAGCTCACTGGAATTTCCACACGACCCTTAGATAGTTTGAAACTAAATCTTAAACCTCACAGTCCTACATAAAGGGTTCAATGCTCTCCTTTTAAGAACAATATGCCACTAATAAAAAAAATGGAGAGTTGTTGATTTTAGGTTTAATACACTTGTATATCCAAAACTTTCACGATTGTGCCAATAATATCCAAATTTCCCGAAATATCACTTATATCCATGTTTTAAAGTTGTTCTTTGCCAAATCTATCTATTTCCCAATATATTTTTGGTTAAATACACTTGTATATCCAAAAACACCGTTAAAGAATGTGAAGGAATTGGATATAAGTGGTATTTCGGGAAATTTGGATATTATTTGGATATTATTGACACAAGTGTATTTAACCTTGATTTTAGTAAACTATATACTAACAACTCAGCTAAGAGGGGACCATCAAAACTTTAGAGCAAACGACAAAATTAAGGTTACCTCTAATATACTAATAGACTCGATCAAAGTAATAAGATATAAAATTAGACACTCCTTATTTATCATTTCTAATCGGTTGAATAAAGAATCGACCTACTTTAGTAAACCAATTAATGATTCCTCGTTATAAAATAGAAATAGGTTGTGATAGCTGCAAAACCATAAATCTAAAGATCCAATAGCCACCATTCTCCTCGTACAACCAAATTTCATCTCAAGAGGTATATGTTTCAACAAAAAATTCAATTTCTAATCCTCCTACAACAACTTCATTTTATTCGCCATGGATTGATATCGGCGTTGAGATTTTCTACTTGCCCAGGTTAAATCCCAACAATAAAACCGCACTGTCAAGAGATACCAGAAGATTGATTTATGTGGGAATTATACAGCGACTATGAAAACAACAACCTCAAGGAAATGCAACCATTATTAAGATGCAATTAGATTGATATAGTTTGTTGACAAATATAAATGTTAAGTGATTGGGTATATAATTTTTCAAATTATAATTTAAATTATGTATTTGCAGAACACAAATATTATATTATTAATGAATCCAAAAGGGACATCCCCTTAATAATTAACGGTGCATGTTACTCATACAAACGAAAATTTTACGTACACATTACAATATTAAATTTAATACTAACATAAAGAGATTCAAAAATAGAGTGTACTTTGAACAATTATTATTGTGTTTAATGTCATTACCATCATTATACAATTAATGAGTGAATTGACTCTGAATGCTCTCTGAATCGCATCCCGTCATTCCGTCCTCGACACCGGCGGCCTCCCAAGCTGGCCGCCCGCCGGATGTCATCACCCCTCAGGACCCCACCGCAACGCCCACAGCTAAATCAATGACGCCCGCCGCGACCACTGCAACGCCTCTGGCAAATCCGACCAACTTTCCGCCGCTGAACTACAAATCAGCACTAGAGGGACAAGGGCGTGACTCAAGAACCACTGCCAATCGATGGACCTTTGTTGGCGAACAGGATCTGGTGGCTGGCTCTTTCGCAGGGGAGCCGGAACTGAAAATCTCGGATAACTTCAAAGAAAGGCTCTGCAACCCGTGGAAGAAGACACTAGTCATCAGATTGCTTGGTCGATCGGTTTCATACAACTACCTGTGTTCTCAGCTCAAATGGAAATGGCGCCCGACCGGGTCAATGGACATCATGGATCTGAACAACGAAACTTTCCTGGTAACCTTCTCAAATGATCAAGATTACCTCAAGGCTTTAACGAGTGGACCATGGGAAATCCTCGATCATTACCTCGTTGTACACCCCTGGTCACCAAAATTCAGGACCTCCGACAAGATCCACAAATCAGTTACCGCTTGGATTCAATTGCCGGAACTCCCTGTCCACTTCTACCACCGGGAAGTTTTGTTCGCCCTAGGAAATCTCATAGGCAGAACCGTGAAGCTGGACTACCACACAGAAATGCTCGAAAGGGGAAAATTTGCTAGGATCGACGTTGAACTAGACATGACGAAACCACTCCCGACTCGCATCCGATTGGACGGATTCTGGCAACAAGTTCTGTATGAGAACCTTCCGCAAATCTGTTTCGATTGTGGTAGAATCGGACACACGGAAGAGACCTGCCCAATGAAGTTGAACAGCTGTGCTGTAGAATCAAGCTCAGTGGCGATTTCACACCCAGCAAACGCCGGCGTTAACATCGACTCGCCGGCTGAGCCGCCGGCCGGCTATGGACCTTGGATGCAGGTGACGCGAAAATCTCGCAAACCAACCAGGAAAGCCAGCGAAAGTCAAGGATCCCAAAAAGGAAATCAGCAGGAAAAGCCAGCCAATCATGGCAAACAGATGGCAAAGAATCTGGGATCATCCAAGGGTGCTAATCTCGGCAACATCAACGCCAACGATGGAAAAGGAAAGGGGAACCTCAAGACGGAAAACAAGAAAGGAAAGTCGGATAATCAGAAGGGGAAAATCACAACAGAGGATGGTAAGACTGCGCAAGCCAACAGGAAAGCTACCAACGGCCTGAAAGAATGGATCCCTGTAGGAGAGGCTAAGGCGTCCGTTAATGCCCCAAACCTAGCAACCAGGCCTGGGCCGCTTACCCTAAGCCCACTTCTAACAGGCCTTGTCGGGCAGACTTCGGGGAACAACTCTGGAAGCCCGTGTGTGGGGAAGGAAAGCCCGACAACTCAATTGAAGGAAAACATAGACCCAAATGTGCAAACTCATTCGGTCAGGCAGCATTTCGACAAGAGAAACACCACCGGCTCTCGTGGCGGTGGGAAGAACATCGATCGCCACCTGAAAGTGGCGAAAAAACAAATCCACAATCCCGCCGGATCGAAGCGCGAAATGCACCAGTTGGTTCAAGAGAACACCTTCCCCATTACCCAGCGGGACATAGACACCTTCCTTCGACAGTCCAAGCAGAAAGCGGAAGAGTTCACAACCGCCTCGGCTACCCTGGCAAATGATGTCAGAATGGAAGATAGCGTGGCCCCCAGTGAGGCTCGGGCAACGGAATCAGAGCAAAAGGCCCCGCCAGCGCCTACTAGCGCAATCTAACAGGGAGTCCCTCCCCACCTTCCCTTCTTTCTCAATGTTTAGTATCCTTAGCTGGAACTGTCGTGGGGCTAAAAGCCCCAAATTTCTCTCTGTTTTCAAGGATTACATGCTTGCTTTTAGACCCAATATTGTGTTCATCGTAGAGCCTAGGACTAGTGGTAAAGATGCGGATGCGGTGATTGCCAAAATGGGGTTTGACTGTTTCAAGAAAGTCGACGCCATTGGCTTCTCTGGGGGTATTTGGGATCTTTGGAACTCTGCTGATTTCTTAATTACAGAATTGGATAAAGGCCCGCAGTTCTTTCACTTTCGTTGTGTTGACTTGCAGGTTAATCGTACTGTTGAACTAACAGCCATATATGCCAAACCGAATGACCACGACCGTCGCCCTCTTTGGGATTCCCTTCGGCACATTGAACAGAATATGAAGAGCCAGTGGCTTTTAGTTGGGGATTTCAACTCTATCTGCAGTGCCTCGGATCGGCAGGGAGGCGCTGGTTTCAATTCCCAGAGAACTACCCACTTCAACGAGTGTATCAGTGATTGCAATCTGATCGATGTGGGCTTTATAGGTCCACGGTTTACCTGGACCAATGGAAGACTGTCGCAGCGCCTTGATCGTGCCCTTTGCAACAGGGACTGGCTCGATTGTTTCCCAGAAACTTCGAATACTCACCTTCTTCGAGTCCGCTCAGACCACCGGCCTGTTCTCGTTCGGAGCTCGATGGACCAGCCCAGCCCTCGCAAGAAAAGACCGTTCCGATTCTTAGCAGCTTGGCTCTGCCATGAGTCTTTCCCAAGCACAATTGACTCAGCCTGGACTCGGGGGAGAGATTTCAACTTAAGCCTCATCGACTTGCAAGAGGCGCTGCAGACATGGAACAAAAACGTCTTCGGCAATATCTTTAAGAGGAAAAGAGCCTTGTCGAATAAGTTGGCCAGATGGGAGCTCATCAATGATCGACACCCCAACCCTAGGTCTTTGCAAGAGGAAACTAGAGTCAGGGAAGAATTGGAAAAAACCCTTTGGCAGGAAGAACTGCTTTGGCTTCAGAAATCTAGAGATAATTGGATCAACAATGGTGACAGCAACACCCCTTTCTTCCACTCTTCCACCATCGCCCGGAGAAGAAGGAACAAGATCTTAAAGCTGCAAAATAACGAGGGCGCTTGGATTGAGGATCAGGACACTCTGCAGAAAATGTCTCGTGATTTCTACATAGAGCTATTTACTGCAGAAACTGATACAGCCCAGAATTTCTGTGCAGATTTCAGGATTCCAGAGGCCAACTCTCTCAGCAGGCTAGCTTCCATCCCTACAGTGGAAGAAATCCATAGCATCATCAGGAACATGGGAAGCTTGAGAGCGCCTGGTAAAGATGGTTTCCATGCCATCTTCTACAAACGCTGCTGGAATACCATTCAAGCCGAGCTCCGGGACTTTATAGCTAGATGTTTCCAGGAACCCGAGTCTATCAGAAGGTGCAACTCAACACTGCTCACTTTGTTGCCTAAGGTGGACAGCCCGAGTAATATGTCTCAATTCAGACCTATTGGGTTATGTAATGTCAGCTACAAGATCGTTGCGAAGTGCCTGGCTGACCGCCTTAAGTTGCTGATGCCGGATTTAGTTGATGAGAACCAAACCAGCTTCGTTCCCAAACGCCACATAACCAGCAACATCATCATCCTGCAAGAGATCATCCACACTATGAACCAATTGAAGGGTGTGAAGGGTTTGATGGTGCTGAAAATAGATTTGGCTAAGGCATACGACAGGATTAGTTGGAGCTTCCTCCTGTCTACCCTCGAAGCTGCAGGTTTTCCCCAGGAATTCATATCTCTTGTCATGGCCTGTGTCACGACAGCCAGTTTCCAGGTCCTGTGGAATGGTAGCTGCACCGAGGAGTTCAAACCAACTCGTGGTCTCAGACAGGGATGTCCTCTCTCCCCATATCTTTTTACTTTATGCATGGAACGTCTAAATCATAATATTAAAAAATCTGTGGAGTGTGGTAAATGGAAACCGATCTGCTTATCTAAAAATGGACCACCCCTAACCCATTTATTCTTTGCAGATGACCTTGTACTCCTAGCCGAGGCGGATGCCAATCAAGCCAGGGTGGTGATGAGTTGTTTGGATCAATTTTGTTCAGCGTCTGGGGAAAAAGTCAGCAAAGAGAAGTCGCGAGTCTATTTCTCAAGGAATATTAAGGAAAGAACCAAGAACAGGCTAAGTGGCCTAATGGGAATCCCACGTACTTCCAATCTGGGCAAGTATTTGGGTGTTCCAGTTATCCACGGGCGCGTAACGAAGGAAACCTACAAGTATATCCTCGAGAATATAGATAGAAGGCTTGCGAGCTGGAAAACCAAAAGCCTGTCGCTAGCAAGAAGGGTTACATTGGCTACTTCGGTACTCAATGCGCTCCCGAACTACACCATGCAAACTGCCGTCTTGCCCTGCAATGTCTGTGATCAGATCGATAAGAAGATCAGAGGGTTTGTTTGGGGCAGAGATAATGGCAAGGATAAGGCACACCTTGTCACATGGGAGACAGTCTGCAAGTCTAAAGAAGAGGGCGGACTTGGCCTTCGCTCAGCTAGAGCTCTGAACTTGGCATACCTAATGAAGCTGGGTTGGCAATTCCTGAACAACGACGAAAGTCTCTGGGTCAGGGTACTTCATGCAAAATACGTTAAGCAGAACAATGATGGCAGCGTGGCATTCCGCCAGCAGCGGGTCTCTCGGCTCTGGAAGGGGATCAAGGATGCCCTACCTCTTCTGAAACAGAACACCATCTGGGACATTAGGGATGGTAGAAGCGTCAATTTCTGGAAAGACCATTGGATTTCGGCTGGCCTGGCGTTGAAGGACCATGTTGTCACCAATGAACACACCGTCGAGTGGGACAGCTCAGTTGCGGAGATGGTGGATTCATCAGGTGAGTGGAATTGGGGAACTATCAAAAATCACCTCCCTGACACGTTTCTTTCTCTTCTTGCAGGTACTGATACCCCCCTCCAAGAAGCAGGGGATGACACAATTATATGGGGACAAGAAAGTGACGGCAGATTTCGAATTGGTAGTGCGTACAAGGTGGCGGTGGAATGGCTGCAGGAAAATAACCATGGAGATGCTGCTGAGGGCAACCACACCAAGTGGATGAGCGCCTGGAAGTGGCCAGGACCAAATCGATTAAGACATTTCCTCTGGCTTTGCCTACATAATCGCCTCATGACAAATAGCGAGAGAAAGCGGAGGAATTTTGGTGACAGCGACACATGCGAGTTCTGCAAGTCAGGACCAGAAACGACAGAGCACGTCATCAGAACCTGCCCCTTGGCAGCTCAGGTATGGCAACGCCTTGGCTTAATAGAGACCCCCCTTACACACGGTTTGAACTTTGCAGGTTGGATGGCGACCAATTTGAAGAAAGAAGGGACAAACCTGTTGTTTGGAGTGGCGGCCTGGTTCCTGTGGAGAAGAAGGAACGATTGGATCTTTGAGAAGAAATTTCAAGAATCGGAGATCCTGGTGCATCGGATCCGAGCGTGTGCTGCAGTTATCAAGCAAGCACAAGACAATAATCGGCAGCTTCTCGTCGACACGACGGGGGACAAAACAAGACAAGAAATGGCATGGCAACCACCACCTGTAGATTGGATCGTTATCAACTCTGACGGGTCTGTCAAACACCCAAACTCGGCGGCAGCTGCAGGTGGCTTGCTCCGCAATCATCTTGGCCGATGTGTGGGAGCCTTCGTCACCAACTTAGGAAGCTGCTCCATCACAAGGGCGGAGATCGTCGGGGCGCTCACTGGACTCCAACTCGCTTGGGATCAAGGTCACAGGAAGGTACTCATCCACATTGATTCTACTGCAGCGCTGGCCATTTTAACAGGAAAGGATCGAGATAGCAAGCGGTATCACAACCTCACTAGGCGTTTTCAGAACCTGCTACAGCGTAACTGGGAGGTTCATCTCTCCCACTCTTACCGCGAATGCAACAAAGCGGCAGACTACTTAGCTAATAAAGCCCATGGGTTTAGCCTTGGCACTCACTCTTTCGATATTTCGGACTCGGGTCTCAAGTTTTGGATCTTGTATGACACTATGGGGATTACCCAGGATCGGTTAATTTAATTTCAGGCAGGGGCACCCTTTAGCGTCCCTCTTTCTACCAAAAAAAAATCATTATACAGATTCAGAATCAACCTTCGAGTTGTGGATAAAACAAGAGAGGCTGGCTTTGTTGTTATGGATAAAGTGGAGCTCGATTTTTTTTGAAATGTTGGCTGAACGGCTATTTCAAGACAACGACAAAATTAGAAGACCATCACCTGCTCATCTCTTAGCAAATTGAGGGAATGACGTTGTAGTTCGACATCAAGCACACAAATATAACAATGCTAATCCAACAAGTCAGTGTTCAATTACCAAGACAAGGAAGGACGATGAAGAACAAACCACCCACGATCTTCCTAACTTTATCTATGTAAATTGTATTGCAATAAAAATGATGATCAATATTACTTACAAATTTGAGTTAATCTCTACTATATTTGGATTTTTATATCATGCACTTGTCATACTTAGTTATATTATTTAATCTTGTAAATAACTTTAATGGTCGGACGAAGGGAGCACATGATTTAATTAACATAATTGGCTTTAGTGAATTATATCCAAATAAATCAACCTCCAATTAAAAGGTGGAGAACACCAAATATGTTGTACTTGTAAATGATATAAGTTCATAATGCTAATGTAGGAGAACAAGAATGACACTGCTAATGCTGGAGGTAATGGACCCGTTGCTACAGATGATGATGATATCGAGGTAAATTGTACTCTAATGAAAAATATGATCAAATTCTATTATGAAAATTATTTAACTGATCAATTATTAATGCTACTGTTCAAATTCATTATCAGGGAAACTCAAACATATTATATTTGAGGTACAACCTCCGTACACAAACACAAGGACTTTGTTAACACATCTCATAAATTTATTCAACAATTACAGCCGAAGCCAATAAATAACAACAGGAAAACTAATGGAATTTTTTAAAGCATAATTGCACTCACAGACTTGAAGATGTGATAATAAAACGACAAAGCAAATAAAATATGAAATTCGGCAAAGCACTCCATGAAACAAAAGACGTCGATAAAATTTTATGAAGCAGATTGGTAATCGGCGTACTTAATCAATAACAAACAGTAGCTTCAATAATATTGGATGAAGCTAATTGCACATAATCAAATAGCTACACAGCAGCGGAAAACTGACATAATCGAAAATCATCTATTCATGTAAACCTAAGGCTCTGATACCACATATAAACATAAATCATAATAGCATGGATCTTAGAATTAGATGATTTCACGAATCAATAATAGATCAAGGAAACCTACCTCGATCCATGACGAGAGCAGCGACAATGGCTTGAGTAGTAATCATCGGAATTGAGTTTCTCCCTCTTGACCCTTTAATATTTTTTTAGGTTTAGAGATTTCTGTGATGGCTAAAAAATTCTACGTAATGGGTTGAGAGAGTACCAATTCTAGGGCTTCTTTATATAGACCCACCATCAAGGTATATTAGGAATTTACCTTTCATTAACCTAACCAATATAGAATTTATCTTATATATTAAACCATTAAGTGATAATTACACTTGGGCCACAATCATTCCCTTGTGACCTACGGGAATAGGCTTTAAAGAAACACCATGCATGTTACTGTATTTCAGCAGCCCACATAGCCTCACAGTTACAAACACCAACTCCTCCAAGTCTCTCCGTAATCCAGTTAGGCGGGGGGAGGGCGGCGCTTGCCCGGCTTTATGCGGGCATCGAAGGTGGGATCAGCTTCCATCAAATCTGTAAACAGGGAAGCATAAAAAAAACAGCCCATAATACAAGTAGAGTGCTAAGTATTCACTTAGTTTCCCTATTAGAGTCCCTGAAGACCATAATCTTTTTCTTATCCCTACTCCACCAGCGACAGGAAAGCACCACTCCGTAAGTCTTCTCGCCAGAGCTCCTTTTCCGTTTACCACCGTCGGCGGAGCTACCACCATCACCGATCCTATCCCTTAGGATGGAAATTCAGGGATGACATTGTGCGACGCCAAGAGAGAAGAGGACGAAGAAGAATGGCGGTAATGAATTAATCCATTCCTGAGCCCCTAATGTCTTGGATGAGGAATGTTGATAGTCTATTATCCTACATGCCACTTCTGTAGCTCTGCAAGATAAGCATCCTGTCGCCCCATCTCCCTCTCTTTCGACTTTACCTGTGGATCATCATTCCTCTTCAACTACTATTTTGGATATGATTAGGAGCTTCCCTCGTGGTACGTCTTGTGGGAGGGATGGTTTTCGAGCTTAACATCTTATGGATTGTCTGGGTGGAGATACTGTCGCTATCTCGGATGATTTGGTCGCCTCTATTACTCGGGTGGTTAATCTTTTCCTTAAGGGTCGATGCCCACATATCCTTTGTGAGTACATTGCTAGCGCTCCGCTCACACCGCTTGTTAAGCTAGTGGGTGGTATCCGTCCTATAGTTGTTGACACTATTTGGAGACATCTTGTCTCTAAAGTTGGTGCTTGTCTTGTTGGCCCTTTTTTATTTGCCTCTTTTGATGGTCTTCAGTTTGGGGTTGGCGTTTCTAGTGGAGGAAGGGCTATTTTGCATGTCTTGAACCGATTAGTTGACACCCGTGGTGGTGACGTTTATCTTTCTATGTTGCTGGTCGATTTTCAGAATGCTTGTAATTTAGTTGATCGTGGGGTCATGCTTCAGGAAATTCGACGTAGGTGCCCGGTTCTTTCCCGATGGGTAGTTTGTCTTTCTACTTCGCATGTCTTGAAGCCGTTGCCCAGTTTTGTTTTCTCTATAATGTTTACCCCTTCAGTGATTTTGGATGATGATTCAATCCTTTGGTAGTTTCAGTAACTGTAGGCAGTTTGTTTGACGATTCAACATTAAGTGATAAGTGAAATAATATGTCATGAAGATTGAATCCAGCCGCAGTTGTGATTCTGCTTGAATTCTCATAATGTGACTATGGTACTTATATAGACTGATTCAACTATTCAGTTTCCTTCTCTCATATTTATGTTGGCTTATTGATACGCGCAGGTGGAACGGAAGTTTAGCGAAGATTGACAGTAGAGGGAGGCCATGTGACAAGTCCAGCCAATATCCAGTAACCATTGCATGATTACTTCAAGACATAAAAGAAATGTTGTATAATCACTTATAGACATATTTTCCAAATTGTGGTATTCTTTAGGTATCAAGTTAAGTTGTGCTCAACCTTTAAACCTGTATTGTAGTTTTGAAAGGGATCATTGTGCTGCTATAGTGAACCGTATTTTACATATATACAATGTTGTTTGATGTGCATTTTGGTAGCCATTGTTGTGTTGGATATTTCCCTGCAGAACAGTCGAGTTCACATGTGTATTTTGGTAGCCATTGTTGTGCTACATATTTTCCTGCAGATTTTTTCTTACGTGTATTTTGATACCCAACTGTAACATGATACTTGCTTTTGGTAATCATTTCTATGTTAGATTTATTTAATCAGTATATCTCATTAATCACACATCCCAACGCAGAGCGCGTGTAATTAAAACTAGTACCATATATAAACTATATGTTATAATGTCTATCCACCACTACGATCTGGAAGCAAAATCCATAATTAGATCGTCATGTCCCATTAGAAAGGAGTAATTGAAGGTCCTCATCTTACTCTTCAACAATTTGAGGAATATGAGTAAACAAAAATATAAAAAACTGTTTTTCTGGCGAGAAAATCTAGATGAACATAATTGAATTGCACCTTTTGACTTCCAAATAAACAATTAAACAACACGATTCACACCTATTTGAATAAAGTTCAAACAAGGGCGTCATTAAATTAGCCCTACTTCTATGGAGGTTCAACGAGAGCTTCAAAACTACAGCTCTGGCTACATTTGCAGAGGAAAAGATAAAAAGATAAATTTGACATTGTGCTGTCTGATGTGATTTTGGCGAACCCTTTCTCTGTCATCTTCGCCTCTTATTTATAGCTATCTTAAGAAACTACTTTGTTGACGTGGAGTGACGGTTACCCTCTCAACTACTATGACGGTTACCCTGGCATTGAATATGCCACCTTCTTCAGTCTTGACTCCTTCCTCTTGAGACCTCACTCCCTGCTCTTGGTATCTTCTCCATAGCTTTGCTTGTCTATAGAGAAAAAATGGCTAAGGCATGATAGGGTGGCCCATTGCCACTTAACTCCCCCTTGTATGATCACCTCATGGGGGCTCTAAGTTGATCACCACCCTTTGACCACCACATGGGGAGTGCTCCTTGTCATACTCATCATCTTCCATACTTAGCCAACTTTCCAGCCGACCTCACCACACTAAGAGGTATGGTGATGCCAACCATTTATAGATTTAGCCAAATTTCAACCAAGATGATCACCCACTGATCATACCATAGGGGTAATGCGGATGATCCCTGGCACGTCATGGGGTGGCGGTATGGTGGCCACCCCGCTCCAACACTTAGCAAAATTTTGAAATAGATGGCAGAGTGGCGCGCATGATGGCATTCGGGGTAATGGGCCAAAAAACTCAATCCACGTGGCTCACTCATCTAATTTAAACTGTTTTAATTATGTTGACCTTATAAAGTCTTTTAATTACTTGTATTTAACCTGTATTTAACCGATGTGATACAAGTTGATTTTTAGTGGTAAACACCAACCTTAACCAATTATTCTAAAAAAAGCTCTAGTCTTTGAACCAATTACACCACACTAACAATCACCAATTATGCATAGGGAGTTTAGTAAATATATACTCCCTTTGCTGCATTATCATCACCCATCCATTGTCATCTAAATGATGGAACAAGGTCGAACCGGCTGTCAAAGTTACCGACGAAAGATAGAGAGGCCGCAGTAACAGCAGAGCCATAGAGGTTGCTGCCGAAATCTGGTTCCATGTTGCTGTTCTCCGAACGCTTGGCGAATCGGCCTTTGATCCTCGGCCTGGCTTCCGCATATGCTTTGCGAGAAGCGTAACGAATCGTCTTCTCGAACTTCCGGTTCTTCCTCTTCTCCC